GTTTTTATTATTAAAACAGGATGCTTAAAAAAGTCCTGCAGTTGATAATCTAAAGTTTTCAGTTATAATAAGAAAAAGCACATTGAAGTAAAATTACGACTGATTTATTCACTGGTTGTGACATGGACTATGATTCACACAAAACAATTTAGATTTCTGTAGTTGTATTAGAAAACAACTCAATTAATAGATGAGATTGACAAACTTTTTTTGATGGCAATTAACAGCAACAATCCAATTTTGGCAACAGTAACATTAAAGTTCATTAAAATTGATGTAAAAAGAGATTAGTTCAGAGCTAAAACAAATGAGGATTACAGTAAATAAGAAGACTGATCAGTGAGTTTGAGCCTGAGCACCGATCCCCATGACAGCCCACTAGTTACAATTTACCAATCAGCAAGACTCATTTATACACACTCTCTGCTTTTTGTTGGTTAGCCAGTCCTCTATCCAAGCTAATAAGTTACCCCTAACCCCATGCAAACTTACTTTGTGTATTGGCCTTTTGCATGGCACCTTATCAAATACCTTCTCGAAGTCCAGATGTATTGCATCTAAAGAACTCCATTATCCACTCTCAGAATCCCTACAGTGTGGAAACAGACCCTTCAGCCCAACAAGTCCACACCGACCCTCAGAGCATCCCACCCAGACCCATCCCCCTACAACCCACCTGATCAACACATCCCTGAAAACAATGGGCAATTTAGCAAGGCCAATCCACCTAACCTGCACATCTTTGGACTGCGGGACGAAACCCACGCAGACGCAGGGAGAATGTGCAGACAGTTGCCAGAGGTTGGAATCAAATCCGGGTCCCTGGTGCTGTGAGGCAGCAGTGCTAACCACTGAGCCAACATGCCACCCTTTGCTTGTTAGATCTTCAAAGAAATCTAACAAATTAATCAAACATGATTTTCACTTCATGAAATCATGCTGCAATGGATTTGCTTTGACTTTGCAAAGTCCTGTGTTAATACATCCTTACTAACGGATTCTAACTTTCCAGCCATTAAACTTGCTGGTGGATTGTTTCAACTTTCCACCTTCCTCCATTTTTGAATAAGGGCATTACATTGCCATTTTTCCAATTCACTGGAACCTTTCCAGAATCCAGGAAGTTGTAATATTATGACCAATGGATCCACCATCTCTACTGTCACTTTAAGACCTTACAATATCAGGAATCAGGCCCAGGAGAACTTGTCTTCCTTCAATCCCAATAGTTTGCTCAGTACTTAATGCCTTGTGAAGGAAACTGTTTTAAATTCCTCCTTTGCACCCGTTACAGTTGGGATGATACTAGTGCCCTCCACCTTGTAAACTGAAGCAAAACATTGGTTGAGTTTCTCTGCCATTTTTGCATTCTCCATCAACAACTACCCAGTCCTCCTCTCTTGTCCTCCAAGGTTGCAACATTCACTTTAGCTACTCCCTTCCTGTTTATATATTTAGAAGTTTTTGCTGTACATTTTTATACTTTATGCTAGTTTTCTTTCATAACTAACTATTATTTTTCTTTTAAACTTTCATAAAAAACAACTTTGTTGGCCTCTGAAAGTTCCTAATTCTCCAGCCTGCCATTGACCTTTACAATACGCAAAGTTCTTAGTTTTGCCCTTGTTACCTTTAACTTTCTTGCTTAACCATGGATGCATTTTCAATCTTTTGTCCTCTTCGGAACATATTTTATTTGGGATGATTAGAAAATCTCCTTTAATGTCTGCCATTGTTAATCAATTGTCCCACTTTTTAGTCTTTCTGACAATTCAATCTGGGAACATATCTGACCTCATGCTTATGCTCATCTTTATTAAGCAACAACATGAGTGTGGGACTCAAATTCAGTTGGAGGATGAGAACCTTGAAATTCCAGCACATTATGATCACTCTTCCCCAGAGAATCCCTTACTATGAGCTCATTAATTGAACCCATGTCTGAAAAGGAGGAATTTAAAACAGTTGCCATCACAAGGGAATAAGTACTGAACAAACTATTGAACTGAACAAAGAGGCCTTGGAGTGCAAGTTTATAGTTCCTTGAAAGTGGAGTCCCAGGTCAACAGGATAACGAAGACGGCATTTGGTATGCTTGCCTTTATTGGTTAGTGCAGCTGTACAGGACATTGGTTACACTACATTTGGAACACTGCATTCAGTTCTGGTCTCCCTGCTATTGGAAGGATGTTGTAAAACTTGAAAAGAAGGTTTCAGAAAAGATTTACATGGATATTGCCAGAATTGGAGGGTTTGAGCCATAGTGGGAGGCTGAATAGGTTGGACTATTTTATCTGGAGAGTCAGAGGCCGAGGGGTGCCTTCATAGAGGTTTATAAAATCATGAGGGTCATGGATAGGGCGGATAGCTAAGGCCTTTTCCCTAGGGTGGAGGAGTCCAAAACTAGAGGGCAAAGGTTTAAGGTGAGGGGTAAAGATTTAAAAAGGAACCCAAAGGTCAACTATGCAGTAGGTGGTGCATGTATGGAATGAGCTGCCAAAGGAAGTGGAGGAGGCTGGTACAATTAGAACATTTAAAAGGCATCTGGATGGGTACATGAATAGGAAGGGTTTAAGAGGGATATGGGTCAAATGCTGGCAAATGGGGCTAGATTAATTTAGGACATCTGATCAGCATGGACGAGTTGGACCGAAGGGTCTGTTTCCATGCTGTACAGCTCTATAACTATGACTAATAGTCTGCTCCTGGTTGGTGCTGACATTCATATTCCGTTTGAAGTTATTCGTCAAACGTCATACTCTATCCCTCCACTCCTCAAACACTAAATGATCCTACCTCTTAGGAACTAGTTTTGCAGCAACCAGTCTTGCACCTTCCCATTCTTTGTTCTTTCCACTGTGATACGTAATGATGATGTCCACGTGATTGAAGACGTAGTATGTATTCTTCTTGTTAAATTCAGACTATAACAAAAAAAGGAACGTTAACAGGAAGTTAACAAAATTTGAAAGTCTTGGAGCAAAGAAATCCAGAAATTTGCATCCTAATTGTGTCTCATACACAACCTAAACACACATCACATTTCAAATCCACAGTATCACTCATGTCAGAACTTTCTTCAGTTTATGTTCTTAAGTCATTGGCGTTTAAATAAAACAAGCAAAAACATCTTTGAAAAAGGAAATATCTTTGATAGCACAAAAAAAAAGAGAGATAGCAAGAACTACCAATGCTGGAGTCAGAGACAACAATGTTGAGCAGGCCAGGCAGCAGAGGAGCAGGAAAGCTGTCGTTTCGGGTCGGAACCCTTCTTCAGAAATAGGGGAAGGGGAAGGGAACTTGAAATAGAGCGAGGGGGGGTGGGGTTGGCGAAAGTAATAGCTGAGTGCAAGTAGGCAGTGGTGGGGATTGGTCAGTGAGGTGGAGAAGCGGATAGGTGGGAGAGAAGATGAACAGGTCAAGGAGGTGGGGATGAGAGGGAGGGTTGGTCATGGGATGATGCTGGGGGTGGGGAGATTTTGAA